CTCAATCAAATTCTTAATTTCTAAAATGTATATTTTGTATAAATTTTTATTTTGATGAAAAAGTGGCAAAAAATATTTTCAGTGCAGCGTTAGAAAATATTTTGCATTAAAATAAAAAATTTGTTTTCAAAGCATTTGAATTCTACCTAAAATCATTCATTAATTACAGAAAGAGAAGGAAAGAATATATCCATTCTCCTCTCAAGATGAAAACCAATTAAACTTTTTTGTTTGTTTTCGAACGACATTGTCCGAACAGTTAGGAGCGGGCTCCGTGTCTGGGAATTGACTCATTGTGTTAGTGGAAAAAAATCATTTTTCCGTTCAAGTTAAACTTTAAGAAGGACAAAATGATGTAAAATAGAACAATAATAATTAGATCGCAACTAGTTTACACGATATTATGGTTTTATACGTTATGGTATCACTGCAAAATTTTCAAAACAGTAAAAAATAAAAAATTTGAATTTTTTTTTTGGACTGCTTAGATTAGATAAAATCAAAGATAGTGAAAAAACTGCAATCCATTGACATTGCTGTAATATCTATTTGCAACTTATAATCATTTAGCTGCTGATCTAAATGAATAAATAAAGCTATTAAAAATTGTTTGTTTTCAGAACAGCATCATTAGCATACATAATAGGATAATTTGTTAAAGATGTCAACAAAAAAATTAAAAAAAAAAAACGTATTAAAATTTTATGTTAAATTAATTTCTTTTCATATTTTTAGTAGAATAAATTGTTATGCATTTTCCAATGAATCAGTGGTACCCACTTCATCATTTATAATTTTGATAAAATTTAATATGCAAATGCCTGGTATTTTCAAACTAAGTTCTAACCTAGTATCTACAGTAATAATGTGAAAGTGGAAATTGGATCTGACTTAATACATTATGCCTGCGTAGACAGCAAATGAAATAATTTCAAATTGAGTTCACTATTGATGTGATATAACTGTAACAAGTAATTACTTTGACTACAGATTTCGTACTGTGAAAAAATTAAATTTTTTTGGGAACTGCAATTTTAGAAGTCTTAACGAATTTGTTGGTTATTTAAAAAGGAGTTTTATCTCCTTTTTGAATTTCTCTATTTTCACTCACAACAAACATGAAAAAGCGCATTTTGTAATTTTACTATTGTGCTTTTTAAGAGATGGTGGGCTTTTTAATTTTTTTCTTTATGCTAGGTATTTTTCTTTCCATACGTACGAAGATAATCTAAAGTTACTTCCTTGCAATTTATCTTACAGTTCCAAAATAGGGAAAAATTTAGAGCAAAACAAAGAACCTTGAAAAACATGTTAAATGCACGTGAAGTTAAAACAACTAAATATTTGAAAACCTGATATTCACGTTAATGTTCTTTATTCTTGCATCAACAATAAACATTGTCATCGCATAGAATATGAATAGTGTCAAAACTTTTCACATAAAAGTTTTCTACAAATGCTTTTATTTTGATATTCTAAACATACGATTCTCTTTTTCAATTTAAATGAGACATAAAATTGAAGCATAGAAAAATTTCAAGGATAAACTTACTTCAATACAACAGATGAACTTAATATTGACGTTGCCAACTGCGCAGTTTTTTTTTTAACTAATTAAAATAGAAATTCCTCATCATGTGGATAAATTTAGTTAGTATCCATCGATCAGTTACCGAAATGGTGATTGAATATCGGTTGCGATTGGTTGATTTTATTATAGTGCTGGTGTAAAATATTTCATTTAGTCCCATTGCCGTCGGGCTGGTGGTAATAAGATGTCATGATTGAGCCTCTCTATATAATCATGAGTTATTTTCCCTAAAAAGTCCTCCACGAATTTCATTTTAACTTAATACTTAACGAACCAAATATTTTTTAGTTTTTAGAAGTAAATTCAAAATTACAAAGATACGGGAATGAACGCAATACTCCATGCGCTTTTATACGCAAATATTCCATGTTCGCAAATGACAAAATTTATCAAAATATTGTGTATACTTCGTATATTGTATTGTGTATAATGTATTTTTCAATTCAATTTGAAGAAAATTGAATTGTTTCAATTGATGACTTGAATTGAAAATAGAATTGTTTCAGTAGATTTTTAAAAAATAAAATGCTTATTAAAAATAATATTAATAGTATTTCGTTATAGTCTCTTTCATGGGCTTGTTCCTGCCAATGAAACAAATTTTAAAATAAAACTGACATTTTGATGCATACAAATCGAAATTTCTATTATTTGGTTAATGTGGTTTTGGGGGATCTTGTACACTTTTTTTCCCCCAGTTCAAATTGCTTAGGTCGGAAAAAATTGTTTAATTCTTTTTTTTTTTTCGGTTGTTGCAACACATATTTACAAAAAGAAAAAAAAAAGTAATTATGAGTTGTTTCATTTTGAAATTAAAATTTGTCTTAGCCACTTTGTACTGACATTTTCTTCATTAAAATATAAAATCTATAGTTTAAAGATTTTTCACATGTTAGGCTTAGTGAGAAAAAAAAAATTGGCATTTTTATAAATGAATGTTGATGAAATGGTATCAAAAATAAAAGGGAACTAAAAAAATTCTAGTGGCGGGAAAAATGAGACACGCTTATGACCTGTGGCATGATATCAGTCTACTTTTCATCTTGAAGCTGTATTTCAAGGTCGCTCTGAGGTGATCGAGAATACATTTTTGCCCGGGTCTAAGATTGCCCCCCACGAATCTGAGGGAGGTGAGGCACGAGCAATGAAAGTTTGGCGGGAATTCATTTGATTGCTGAGCACACCACCTGAAACCTGTTTCTTCGATGCTGTAGTTGATTTTACTCCATTCAGTTGGTTACGCCCCTAGCGTACGCATGCGCACTTACTTCGAACGTGAGGGAATGGTCTGAAAGCAAAGTTTACTTGAGCAAAGTTTATCCCTCTTCTTGGCGAAGATCCTTGGAAGCTTCTTGAACATTTTACAACTTTTTTTATTTTTTTATAAATCGGATCTGCTCGGAGTGTTTTTATTGAAAAATAATTTCTAAATTTAGAATTTTTTTTTTAAAAAACGTTCACAAATCTTGCTTTGATTGAATTATATTATATTAATATAACATTTATTCATTCAATATAGTTGTTGCAGTAACAAAATTTTGGCGTATTGTTTAATAAAACTTATTTAAAACTCTTCACTATAATTATTATATTGTTTTGAAAAAGCTACTTTTTCTCACCGCAAACCGATTACTCCCGGTATTATTCGATAGAACAGGAATGCATAGTAATGCTTGCACACTCATCGCAATATAATGACACAATAAATGCTTGCGGACGAAGTTGCATAGATCCTTAACATATTAATAGCGTATTCACAAATATAAAATGATATTTTTATTATGAAATGAGCATAGATTGTACCATCGTTTATTTTACATTTAAAAACAATGTTAAACTTCAGGCATACAAATCAAAAATTTCTGTAACATTAAAAAGATAATGCGTTAAAAAATAAACTTGAAATTAATTAAGTTGTGCGATACTTTTTTTTTTATTTTAAAAATAAACCTCTCTTCTTACTCATTTTATCATTCATTAAATAATATTTTCCTATAGGATATCACTTGTTTGTAAATAATTTTGAATATTTTGATGACCGTATTAAAACAAGTATTAAAAAAGAAAAAAAATCATATGATAAATTAAGGGTAATTTTATGTACCTTTACTTATGTTTGCTTATACTTATCTGATGTTTACTTGTATGTTTATGTCACTTACACTTATTTTTTCTCTTTAGTGTGGCCTTAGTATTAATTACGGAGAAAAGTTACAAATTATTTGTAGAACTTTGAGAAGTCCTAAAACTATATCTGATTTATGTTCACTATATGGAATTTTTAATTAGTCTGATATTTTTTTTGAGGGATGATAACATATTATTTATTTAGTATTTAAAACTAATTTTTAAGTATGAAAAGAATTCGTTAGAAATTTTTCAGAAATTTATCAGCTCATTTCTTGAGTGAACAAAAAGGACATTGGAAGACATCTAATCAGAAAGCCGAGATGTGAAAATTTTGCGTCATATTAAATTGAATGTGTTGAAAAATCGTGCTTAAAAGTTCTAAAAGTAGTTAATTTTCGTAAATATTTATAAAAAATTTTCTGTTGAAATGTTGATTGAGTATAATAAAAAAAATCCCCATTAATACATTATTTATTTCGCGGGAAATTAATTTTAGTAAATTGAAATACGAAAATATAAGTTCGATTCAAAATGGGCCAAATGTTCTAACTATTTTATACCTTTATTTTCACAATATAAGTACAAAGCAATAGAGCATGACGTAAAAACTGGTTAAATTTAATTTTCAGTTTCGTTTTATCAGTTATTATACTTTTCAGTTATTTCATTATAAATACCGTATATTTTGGTAATGTTTTTTTCTTCTTTTTAGAAATGTCTTTATTACGCTGTGCGGTAATTTTGACAGAATTTTTTTTACGTGTATAATTTGATTAATTAGCATTTATTTATCGTAAAGGAGATTTTAAAAGCAGTAATAGTAGATATAATTAAGGACTTTTTTTTAGAAAATACAAATTTAAACTGCAACACTCATACACATTAATAAAAATGCATAAAAAACAACATATTAACTCAGCTTTAGCAATAATGGTGCATGCAGTAACAGAATTAATTCACACTTGGAAATAATTGGGGATATAATAAGAAGTAATATAATTCATTATTGATATTGTAAAATGTATTTTAGACATTTGTAGATATTCGGAACATAAAAATATTTAATTCGAATCTAGTGATTTTACAAACCTTTTTTAATTATAATTTCTTAAAATTATTTTTCATAAAATTTTAAATTGAAAATTTTGACTTTTAACTAAAGTATATATAGTAAATCTTTCTTCAGAAACTAGTTCTGAACGAAACAGTTTTCGAATTTGGCGCTTCATTGAAATTATGACGCCAAGCATTTTTTCCACGGCTTAAAGAGACCTATCCCATTTTGTGATAACCCTGGACGCGTTGTAATCAAAACTTACGAAAGAATCTTTTTAAGTTCTGCAAAATGTTTGTTGATAATATCTGTGATTCATTCTAATCGGAACAAAACTGTTTATGAATCGGCTCTTTAAAGATGATTTGTCAATAAAGTAGTAAATATATGTCATCGAAATTTGAAAGTGACTATCAGAAACAAGGATATAGTTTTGCATGAAGTTTTATTTGGCGACATTTGATTACACACTGCGGATCGGTTGCCAAGAGCAACCACACCAAAACAAGGATAGTATGATACATCTTCAGGTAGGAAATATTTTAACAATTCGTTTATCTGTTTCTTTGGATGCGTCAGAAATGCAATTCGTTTACTTTAGAAAAATATTTCATTTAATTCTTCAGCAGATTTGAAAATGCTTGGATTATCAGAACTTTAAATTGCTTTAGAATAGTAAGATAATTTGCTAAAGAATTGCAGACATACTTTTAATGTTGTTAGAAGAGTTTTTGTTCGAAGCTGTCATTATTTTCTTTAGATTGTAAATTGTGAATTTTGTAAATTTACCAAGTGGAGTTTTAATCGTAAATATTCTTTTAGAACAGAAATAATTACGGTAAGCTTATTCAATCAATATAATTTGTTCTACGAATGTTTAGAATATTTTTGTGTGGTTATTTGGGTACGAGAATTTTTTCTATCGTTTTCTGTTCTTTGAATGGTAAATTTATTTTAATTAAGTTTAATTGTATGAATTGTGTTGTTAATTTTAAACAAATTAAACTTATTAAAGTTATAAGGTTTAATGAAAAGCTCTATATTCTTCATTGCTGGTATTTGAAATTTGTCTATTAATTCCACTTTAACATTCGTTGCAAAAAAGAATAATGGTTCTAAAACATTAAATTCTGAATATGTGTTTTATAATTATTAAATTTGTTGTTCAAGTTAATTTTAGTTTAATTGATAAAATGATAATTTTCGAAGTATATGTCAAGGAAACTGTTAGCTAAACAAATAATGCTGTTTGTCTTTATATTCTGAAAGGGAAACAATAAATAAAATTAAAATTTATTAATATGAAATGCAACTTTTAAGGAATTTTAAGTTATTTATTATAAAATATCGAATTGTATTTTAAATTTTAATCTTATAGTCTATTAGAATACTTTTGAAATTCTTAAGAATTCTTCATTTTTCTGAAACAGGAATTCAATTTTTACAATAGATCTTCACATTAAGATATGCAATTAAATTTTTTTAGTTTTGGTAATTATTTTTAAACTAATGAAGCTTCTTATTCTTATTTTTCTCTATCTTTCAAACTGTAACTTTTTTCATATTAGGTTCAGTTTAAATTGCTCACGTATTACAAACAATTCTAACACTCTTTTGATATATTATGATATCATATTACATTATGATGCATATTAAACATATATTATTCTTTTGATACATTATATTAAGCATAATCTTTGTAAAACATTAAAAAAAGAACTAAAGATAAAAAGACAGATGTTCGCTTTCAAAATGACATCATTAAAAATTCTGATTCCTAAAATACTGATGAAATTGCAAAATAATGTCTTTAATATATATGTTTTGAAATGGTTCGAAAAAAAGTGTACATTTTCTAAAAAGAAAAATATTTTTCGTAGAACCATATAAACTTTTTCTTCAAAAATGCGTCTAAAGAAAAGAGTTAAGAGTTAACTATAAAGATATAACTTTCTTGAGTATTCGTAATTGGGTGAAAAATAATTGTTTTTTAATGCTGTCTAAAAAGCTCAGAGCACATTTCATAATTTTTCTTTTCTGAAATTACAATAAAAATATATTAATTAAAATTATTGGAACATTTATTTTGTAAACTTGTTTGTTTAATATACTACTTAAACAAAGTTTTTTTAATTAATAAATGCGTTATTAAACTGTTATCGTTGTTGCGGTTATCATCAACTATTATCACAGTTTATTCATTTAAAGTAGATGCAATTATGAATTTTTTTTAAAATTATATTTTCTTACTCTTACTCAAACATATATTTGAGCATCTAAATATAATAAAATATATTTTTAAAAGAGTGAGGCATGTTCCTCATATTTTAAGAGTTACTGACTAGTCTTAATTTGCATGTTCTTGTGTATTTCTGTTTAGCATGCTTTCAATGCAATGACTCAACCTAAAATGCATTGCAGACATTTTGTAATATCTAACATCTGTGATAGATTTAAAATTAAGTTTTTGACTGTTGCATCGGGGTATTATAGGTATTATTTTCTATTTCACTAAATTTCATAGCACTTTCTAATTATGAAATGTTGAATTTTTTGATGAATTTTATTTATAAATTTAGAATTTCTATCGGCAAAGCATTGTTAGTTTTTCAACTACTTTTTGATTACGATTTTACAATAAATTAAATTAATTGCTCAAGTGACGTTATGAATGACTTGCGGATTGCGTTATAATGCGTTTAAAACCACTAGTAAAATCACAGTAATAGCAGTATGAAATCAAATTTATGTGAAACTGCTTTTTTTTTTAAAAAAAATAAATAAATGCGTATTCCGTAAAACGATACGCATACAAAAAGGAGCAAAATAAGAAACATCGATTAGCCACTTCCTCTCATGTCCGAACTTTTGAATGAATGACATCGTTGTAATTCGTGTGCCTGCCGCAAGGTATTTAAAGTGCTGCTGTAGGCTTTAATACCATCTGCTTTCCTTCTAATGTGGTTAATACCACTTTTTGAACCATTAATATTTGAAAAGATAAGTGGTGTGTTTGAAGGAGTTCTGCGTCTCGAGGAAAATGTTGTTATTATTTTATCAGAATAATTAGAAATAAAATACATAATTAGTTATGAAATAGGGGTAATACCTATACCGCCTTTATGTAAAATGGTGTCACATTTTTTCCATAATGTCCATAAATGATGTCACATTTTTTTCAATATTTTTGATCCTCCATCTTCCTTTTGTAACAAAGTGCCACACCTCACTATATCCCAATTCCTTCTCACACGTCACACTATTTTGCATGGAAAAAAGCACAACGTTATGGATCATGTTTCAAATTTCATTTTTATCTTAGCGTTTTAATGACGTTTGTGAGCATAGCAATAATTATAATTACATGTGTACTTTTTTGATGAAAATTATAAAATTAAATAATGTAAAATTAATTAATCAGTTTTGTTTTAAGTAAAATATGTGTTGTTAAAGTTCTTCTTACCCTCCCTCCCCTTGTTTCAAACTGTTTCAATTTCAAGAACTTCTACCTCCCCTCAAAGCGGAACATCATTTGTACAACAATAACTTCATTCAAAAAGAAAAAAAGCAATTAGTCCATTTTTTAATCTTTCAGCCTCTCACTCTTTCAATTACTACAGTTTGATGTGTTTTCACGTTTTGCTTTACATTTTGAGAATTTCATTTAACTTGAAGCAATAGAGCTTGTTACATTACAAATTGTACGTTAGACTGTTGCATGACATTAACATCAAAACATTATGAAACATCTAATTTAACGTATTTAATATTCCAGTTTCTTTCCCTTTCTCTTTTAAGAATGTAATTGGATCCTTCCGTGGAAAAGAAACGAATAGCTAAAAAACAATAATAATAAAATTAAATAAATTAATAAAGAAATAAGAACATAAATGACCAAACATTTTTAAAAGTAGAATGGATGTTTTAAATTAGATTAAATAAGCAATTATGTTTAAAGGCTATATGCACGCCTAATTAAAATTCGTTAATTGCGTTAGCGTATTAATACAGTATAAATTATTTTAACTGTCGATTAAAAATTAACAATTATGCCTATAATACTAAATAAATCGTTTAAACAGGTATGTAAAAAATATTTTTAAAAAAAAGCTCCCTTGCGTTGATTGAAAATCCTTTCAATCAACTATTTCATAAATATTAACTTCTGCCTAATCGGATAAGAAAAAGCCGTTGCTTTCTAACTTATCCCTTTTGGGTGTGATTATACGGTATTAAACATGTGCGTATGATTGAATTTGCGTGTAATCTTTAATGGATCAACCTGTACAACGAACTCTTATTGCCATCTGTCAAAACAAGAATACTCTATTAACATAAACCATCAGGAAGTGGAAAAAAAGAAAAAAGAAAATCTTATTCTTGCCAGATTTGTTAAGTTGCTTTCATCTATCTTAGAATTTGTGGGGAATTATATTCTTTTTTGATGGTAAAAGTAGTGAAATTATTCCTCTCGATCCTTTTTCATTTTTATTCCTTATCGGAAGGGTGGCAGTATTCATCGAAATTCCTCATCACGCTCTATCGATCTGTCAATTGCTCTGGTTTCTAAATTACTGTTCCAGACACTTAGAAAACCTTTTCTACCACACTGCAGGATATGAGAACTGTCTTTAAATGATTTTTTAAACTTTTTTTTTCTTCATCTTGTTCAGTAAGAACTGCATTTTTAGTATATTTGAAGAAACTATAAGGCATATCCTGTTATTTCTTTCTAATCGATATTTTCCAATATATCTTCAAAATTCCGATCTCTTACGGTGAACTTAATATGGCTCCCACTGTGATGACTGAAATTTGGAGCCTGTTTATATACTCACCTATTTTTTGTGATATGCTATAACAGTTTTCAGTGGTTTCTTGGCAAATTCCGAGTTGATTCATTTTTTTCCCTATTATATAAAAGAAATCACTTAGCAGCTAGGTGAATCTTTTTTGAAACTTAAAGCTAGGGAAAGCTAAGTCCTAACTTATAAAATGTGATGACTCATTTGATTAAGTAGTTTTTAAGATTAAAATAACTTTCCTTGCTCATTTCTTTAAAAAGCTGCTTTTAAAATTAAAATGACTAAATGTTTTTTTTAAAACTAAAATAAATAATTTATAGTAAATTTAAGTTTGTCTTTAATTATATAAATCGCTAACTTATAATTTTTTTTTCATTATATATTTTTGCTTTAAAAATGAAACTGAATATGTCAAGGCCCACTTATAATTTTAAATGATTTAAGTTTATGGGTCACATTAAGAGTTCTATGACGAAAGGGTAGAAATATATTGATAGACTTCTTTAATACGTTTTTAAGCAAGAGCATCATAAACTCGCTCACTGTGCTTAACTTTCGTAAATGATAATAATATGACGTTAATAGTAAATAATAAAATTTTGAAATTGCTTCTTCAAATATATTTATCTAATACTATTTCCATACTCTTCAATTTCTCTTGATTTACCTTAGCTAAGCGTTATCTATGATTTTGCGTGTAAGAATTTGTTAGCCTTAAAAAAAAAATCGATGTCAGTCTTTGATTACAAGGTCATTTACAAGGAATCTTTTGTGTGGCGCTGTTATGCAGATGTGTTTCAATTCTTTCCATTCTAGCTATTTCTTTGAAAGCATCTTGATCTTTCTAACGTCGAAAGAACAAAATGCTTTGGCATTGTGCCTAAAATGCTGCATTGAATTCATGCTTCATATCACAGTGTTTTTCAGTTTTCAGTCTTTTAGATTTCTGTCTTTTCTCATATATGTGTCAAAATGTGACGGACTAAAATTTTATAACAAGTGCTACATTTGTTCGAAAACAATGCAAGAAATTCCAACCATATATTTTTATATTACATAATCAATATGTCTTACAATATTTCTTAAGAACGTAACAGGTTGCAAGTCGTTATCCTTTCCCATTATTCTATGATATATTTCTATATATTTTCCATATATTTCTATATATTTTCTATATATTTTCCCATTATTCTGCATTGAACTTATTTTATTTCAAGTTTATTGCTTTCCATTTTCAGGGAGATTTTATCCAAAAATATTTAAAATATTCCAGTGATTAATTAAGAGGAAATAATATGTTGAGAAATATTACTTGTTTAAAAACTTCATCCACTTTAAAAACGACAAATCGGAAATAATGGTTGCTCAAATATAAGCTTCCATTTTCAAGTCGTTTTGTTTCACACCTTTATTTTTCCATTTTTCGTTGGCAAATTAACGTTTTATATTTCAAATGACTTTCTTTTCTTCTCAATCGCATCTGGCAAGTCTTGGAAGTGGGCGCCTATTTTCGAGCGCTTGAAGTATGTCTACTGTAATTTCCGATTTGTATGTTTTTGAAGTGAATGAAGTTTTTAAACAAGTAATATCTTACCGCTACAGTTTTTTATAATTATTTATTTAATTCCAGTAATCAATAAGAAATTTGAACCAGACATAGCAATATTGCATTTTTCTCTCTTAACTGACGAAATGAAATAAGAATGCACAAAATACAAAAGAGTCTACTGTAGTGCTGTTAATTATAACAATTTCATTTAACGTTTTTATTGTTTTGTTTTTAATGAAAGATGTTTTAGATTTTTGTAAACAGCATCAATTTGTTAGATATCGTATTTAAGATCGTGCTTGATTTTAAAGAGTTTTTGAAGAAACATTTTTCAAAACTAGCTTAAAACAAACATCAAATGCTGACACAAATAAATAAAAAAGTACTGATGAATTAAAATCGTTTATACATTTTATTCAATTAAGTATTGAAGTATCCCGACAATAAATTCTAGCCCGTTGTTTCTAAACTGCATTCAACATACTCTCATGAAAATCATTACTTTTCATTTCGACAATAAGTTCTGACTGAGTTAATTGAATTGTCAACTGGACGTTTGTAAAATGGTGACGATTGTCATTTCAAACGCAGTTAAGTGAAAACGTGCTTTCAATAGGCACCGCATCGCTATTGTTTCAATAAATTTGTTCACGTTTCTCACAAATCGTTGCTGCATTGTGTTCACATAATTTATGAAATTCATTTTCAGGAACAGTTAGTGTGAGAAATTCGTTACATTGTTTCCCTTTATTTGAAAGTAAATTTGTTCGTATGTTATTTCCATTTTTATTATTCCACTTGTATTTTTTTCATCTTATTTTGTTTTTTAATTTCACTTTCATGCTTTTCGTTTATTTCAATAACAAAAAACAATTTAATGACGAGTTTACGATTTATCTAGAGTCAATTTATTTTTAATTTTAAGAAAATTCGCAAATCCTCTAGTAGTTATTCTGAAAGTAGTTGCTTTATTGTAATATTAAACTACAGCAAAAATTTTAATTACGAATTTGAAACAAAATAAATTCTAGCTTCATTTTAAAGAATTACTTCTGAACGAACTAAAAATTTGAAGCAAATTTTTAAACAAAAATAGAAGTGAAATTATCATATTTTGTTTCAACTTTGCAACTTTTAAATTTTACGTTTTATGTTTATTCTTTGGTTCCAAATTAAAATCTAAACGTAAAAAGAAATATTTATTATCTTAATTAAAGCGATTTTTGTAATTGCTATTATTTTAATAAAATAAATAACCTGTGCATAGAATTTAGATAGCAGTTGCTCAAGGTTGAATGTAATTGACATGCACTATGAAACCTCATGTCGACATCACTTGCTCTATAACATCCCGCTGTTTTGCCAGTTTCAAGGCATTGCACCATCGACATTTAACAATCATATTTGTTTCACCTCGATGATAATCCTTTCAAATGATCTGTTTTTAACATTGGAACGCGAAGGTAATGATGTTAATTCATTAGGTGAAACTCAACCAGACACCCTTGTATATTAGTTAAAAAGCGTGGAAAAAATGAAATCAAATCATGGAAAAGACGACATGGAGTATTCATTTTGAGAAAGGGAGGCACAATTTAAGTATTATTAATTCTTTAGTTAATAAGTATGAGTCATAATTGTAAAAATAATGATTAATTTGTTGTTTTTGGTTATATGCAAATTATTTAAAGACATCTTAGTGTGAGTACGAATCTTATGATCGAATTTTGTTTATAAAATTATTTTGAACTCTTATGTTCTTTTTCCCCCCAAAAAAGTGTAAATTTTTTGTTTTTATGAAAAAAGTTTTGTAATTCAGTTATTAAGTCGATTCTACTCTGGTATCTACGATTGAACTTTATTGTTTTCAGGAGATATTTGATGCAATTGCATGTTATTTAAATGCTACGTTTATTAATTTCAGGTTTAAACAAATAAGTTAATGGTATAAAATTTTTGAATCTTTTATCGCATTTTAGTAAAAAAAAAAAAAAAAAAATTAGAAAAGTAGGGCTTGAGGCAATCACATAAATTTTTTTCAAAGCTGACATTTTTACTCTAAACTACTTCCATTGTATTGTTTCTCGAAGGGTACTTTACAAGTTTCCCGAATTTCAACTAGATAAGAATCCAAAACACAGTTATTGTTTACATAAAAATCGTATAGTTTCTTTCCAATATATTCTTAAAAGTACTCCCCAGAACAATTTGAAAATGTGGTTTATCATTATATTGCTCCTTGCCCTCCAAATGAAAAAAAAAAAAAAAAAAAAAAAAAAAAAAAAAAAAAAAAGCCACGTAGCGTCACATTCATAAACTTGCCTATTTTAAAAAATTTATTGTTTTTCACACTTTTAAATATGATAGTTTAATAAAATATAACGTGTAAAGAATCCTTTTAGGATGTAACTAATATCGTTAAGCAAATACGAGTGTAAGGATTGCAAGTAGCATAAATAGGTATGTGGATTCTGGGGCAAGTTTTTCGATTCAAGCATAGCCACTCGGCGGCTATGATTCAAGTCCCTGAAAAGAGTGTTATCACTGGAAGCAAAAGAAAAAAAAAAGAAAGGAAAGAAAAAAAAACGCATTCAATTATAAAAAATAGTGGATATATATTCAAAGAAAATCTAAATTCATTTTTTGAGTAAAAGTATGTGGTAGTTATTCTACTGTGTAAACTTACATATTTCCTACAAAATATCCCTACTTTTTTTTAATGTGAAGAACACTTTAATTTTATAGGCGATCTTTCTCTCAAATATTTTGATTCCTTAAAGATTTATTATTAAATTTATTTGAAAATCGTAATGAACTATTTTCCGAGAGTTAAATATTTATGCGTTAAAAAATTTATTTACTTAAATAAAAGCAATAGATTTCAAGTTTTTGTGTCTGTAGTCATTCATTGGATATTACCTGGGGCTGTTGTCCCCTTGGTCCCCTTCCTTCACGCAGCTGAAGTTTTCCATGGAACAGTCATTTAATATTCGATCGATTATTTCTTGTTTTTTTATTTTAAATAGTTTTTCCTCTTAGAATAATAGTTTCTGGTGTTCCCTCCCACCTATAAAAAGAAGAAAAAAAAACTTTTCCATGTTGCACAGATTGACGCATGAGAAAAACGCAACTCCATCTCTCTTGTCAAGTGCCCTCAAAAGTTCTGACGCACGAGTGCCTCTCTACACCCCTTTTTCTCACCTAAGAATATAAAAACTGCTTTGACTACCTTTTTTTAGATGCATTTCTATGCGGCGCGCCTATATTCATTGATCCCATTGTCAGAGGCTTTAGATTCCAGGAAGAATGAAGTAGAATAAATCTCTGACATTTACCCTTAAAACTCATTAAACATTCGATATAGTTTTGTACAATTCATACTATAGTAATTCATTATATTTCGGTTTAATTAAAATCATTTCTCTTTTTTTTTTCTAGATAAATGGCGTAATATGATGAGTACAGGTACAACGCCTACTCCTCCGGCCCCCCGGACTTCCCCTGGTAAATGTCCTACCGTGGGGGGTCGGGCTGAAGGAGGGTTTCTACAATATGTCCAACTTCTTAATCCCAGGAGTAGTATGTCCATTACTAATACAAAAGGCTTACTCAATATGCCTGGGCAGAACAACTGTTTCCTCAACAGTGCTGTACAGGTAAGGGAATTTTTTTAAATTTTATTTCTGGAGATAAGAATTATTTCCATGTACATGTTTCATTTGGGTATCTCTCTTTATCTTATAAAGAAGTCTTATCTTCAATTAAGACATTTCTTTTTTAGAAAGTACATATTTACTTAATATACGCAGGCTGTAAATAAGATTGGGAGCAAACAAACTCGATTCTTGTTTAAAATGTTGTGCGGAAAATTCCTATTGGCCACACTGCCAGCACTGCTTTATAATTACCCTAACATCTTTGGTCTAATTGAACAGGCAGATAAAGGAGTTCCCAACTTTATTTTATTACACTTGCGCGAATTTAAGATGATAGTTGCAATTTTTGTGAATATATTTTAAGGTGTTAATCAGAATTAATTTACATCATAATACCTAACTTTTTTTTATAATGTGTAGTCTCAAAATACATCTTAAAAATTCAAAACATTTTTTTAAAATTATTCTGTCGAAGAAACATATTTACAGCATATTGCAACACTGAGAAAAAATTAGGGTGAAAACTTCCAGAATGTTGTAAAATGTTCCGTGTTTCTGATTCTTATGAGAACACCAAAAAGCGCGTTTTTTTTTAATTTTTTTTTTATTGAAGCTTTTTTGTAATGATTTTGGTAAAATTATCAATAAAATATGTTATATAGTATTTGATAAAATATGGTAAATACTATAGAATTTGGTAATTTTATCATACCTTAGAGCGTGGTATAAAAACCATTTGTTCGGTTAAATTTACTACTCAGTTTTGTAATTTTTACCAAATGTGTAGTAAGAACTATAAATTTTTGAAACCTGAATTTCAGGTAAACCTTTACCCTATGAACGGAATAACTATCAAATGAATGGTCTAAATACATATTTTGTTTTATTATCCAGAATTATGTTTTTTTTCTTTCTTTTACCCAGAAATGTCATTAATATATATTACGGTAATTTTACCCGAATTTTTTCTCCATGAAAATATCTGCAAGATATCTGTTACATAGAGGAAGAGAAAACGCATTAAAATATATTTTTTGTACCAGATCCCGGAAAACTTTAAAAAAAATCAGTAGTGGCAAAAAGTAAGAAAATGATTTTTCGATTTATGTCAGTTTCTTTTTCGCCTGGAAAAAAAAAACCCAACTAGAAACTACGCAGATTTTTTTACTAAATTTTATTACGAGATATCTGCATTTGCTCATTTCTGGAAGATTTATAACTAGTTTTTTACAAAGGTTCATGTTAAGGTCTACTTCATGTTTAATTTATAAGATGCACCACGTGGAATCAAAAGACTGAGATTTGTGAGATTTTTTTTTAATCATCTCGTATAAGAAACAGGTTTACGTGAAAAGTAAAGAAATTACGCCATTTTCTTATGTATACCTTACTGAATATTAAATTACGCGTATTAAAAAGTAAAAAAAAAAGAGGGAGTGAATATTGTTTTTGTATGAAAACGCTCCAGTTGAATTAACAACATTTATGTTTTTTTTTATACGCTTATTTCTGAAGTTATTAATTGTTATGCCTTGATATTACTGAAACATGTTATTTTTCTTTACTAGTTCTTTTTTCTGATATGTTGAGCACGTAGTATTTGTGTGCGATTTAAAAAGCTGTTTTGTAACTTACAAAGTAATTTAAAAGGAGTTTTCGGGTTTATTCAGTTTATAGTTATAAATATTTTTAAGTTACAACGTAACCCCTCTCCCCTCTCAACCACTGTTTTTTTTGTTGTTGTTTTTATTACAAAAGTTTTTGTAGCATTTTGTTTTTCATATTTTATTTTATTTCATAACCGTCGTTGAACAGCCGACTCAATTTTTTGGGTTTAAGACTACTGATGTTCAACTCCGTAGCCTTGTAATTTTGAAACCAATCCAGAAGACAAGGGAATTCCTGCATAAAGTATTGGAAGAAATTTGCCTTCGTGGGGGACTTATTGATGGAACTAATCCGCATTCGCGTTATATAGAGAAGAAAACCACGAGAACCTCCCACGGTTGACCTGACGGCATAGGGGCTCTAACCCATGATCCGTCTACCACTGAGGATATTTCACGTCAGCACTCTGGTCGGCACAAGCCGGATGCGGATTCGTATCGACCAGCCATCGTGGGATTCGAACCCGGTTCACCTCATTGGAAGGCGAACGCTCTATCCCCTGAGCCATCGCGGCTCTTGTTTTTCATATTGTAATAATCTTATTGGTAGATTAGTTCATTAAAAATTAGAGAGAGAAAATAAGACTTAGTTAATTAACTTATAAATTCACAGCAAAACCGTACTGAACAATTAAAATAGATTTTTTATAAAATGATGTAACGCAGAAGCACATTGTTATTTTTTTCTTTCTAGATATACTACATAAATTGTCCGAATTTATATCTATCTATCTGAAATATATTAAAGACTACTTCCGTTATGATATTTAAACAACGAACTAAATCATTTGTTTCGTCATCAGAATGACGTTGATACTTCACCCCCTCTTCACTTTATCACCTGATTTCAGCTTTTTTGTTTGAAGCGCGCGTCTGGCAGGTGTGTCTACTACCGAGGTTTTATTTGAGGGTGTCTTTTTTTGAAATGGTTGACTGAACCTTTTCTCAATCGACCCTGACTTTGGTGTATCAGTCAATAAATATTAATTTTGATCTTTTTGTTTCCGGAAAGAATTAATTTATCATGTTTGATTTAAGAGGATTTATTTAATGCATTGTCTCTTTTTCTCAAAGGAATCTTTTTTTCAATGAAAATTGGTGCTTTGTTTATTAAATTGTAAATTGTTTTGAAAAATATGATGATTAATTTTCACGGTTAATATATTGGGCTCGTCAATAGTTTCTTAAAGCGCTGAGGAAACAAGCAAAAATTATTTTTCAAAACATTATAATGTATCGAAGTATAATATTGTATCGAAATAGATTGCTTTTTTGTTAAAATTTTTTAAAATTAATGCGATATTTTAAATTTTATTATTGATTAAGGAAATTTTTGGGTTTTTGAATGGTTAAAAAGGGTGCAATAAAATCATTTTTTCGAAACTTGTTCTTTGACTAAAATATTTTTTACAGTTTCACGAAATTTGCATTGCATTTATATTTAATAAAATTTTTATGTTATGATTGAGTTCTTTGGATTGCATCTTTCAGTAAGCAAATGCCTTGCAAAAGTTTAGAATTACTTATTAGTTTTGTAATTCTCTTAGCTTTGCAAAATTTGCATTCTATTAATGTGTTTTAATACTTTTAATGTGATCTCTGAATTAAATATTTTTGTTTCTTTAACTTTATTGACTAAATCTCATTACGTAGGTTATGAAATAAAATTTATAAAATTCTTCTGAATTACATATTTCTATTTTCAAAATTAGTTTATTAAAATTCTTCATAAACAGCTTATTAAATATTAAAATACATTATTAATAAAAAAATATTTTTAAAAATATGGATACCAGTTTTCAATTGTATATTTCTATCTTATTTATTATTAAATTGTAAATTTTATCATATTTCTATCCTATTACTATCATAACAAAATTTACTCAACAACATTAATTATAAAAAGATGTGTGCTATATTCTTTTAAATTACATAACTCTATCTTCATGAATCATAATTTGCACTACATTAATTTTTGTAAGTAATTTTTACTATATTAAACACTCCTTTTTTTTTCTTTTAAATTTTTTTTGTTTTCTTGACTTTAAAAAGGAACCTATTTTGTATTCTAATTAATTCTAATAAACACCTTTGTTGTTCTTTGTAATAATTATTTAGGTTGTTTGTATGATCCTTTTTATCCCAAATAAATTTTTACGATATGTATCAATGAGTTTTTTTTTTTTTTAAATTCAAAAATCGTAATCATTCAAAGAGGATTAAAATAGAAACAGTAACTATGAGTTTCAAACCTAAAATATAAGTTAGAATGCTATCCCCGTTTCATTATTATTTCAAAGAAATGATAACTTATAACATCATGAAATAGAACAATTAAACATAAGCATTTGATGAGACCTAACTTAGAATAGCGCTGTTTGGTAAAAGTAAGGAAGTGTCCTGACGGTCACACTTTTCAGTCTGTCCGACCGGTTTTTAATTGTAGAGTCGCTGCTTACGAGTCTCTCTCTTATTTTAAAAAGAAGGGTCACCGACTCTGGGGTATCTTATTTGATGTCATCATTTCTGAATCGTTCCCGTGTCCCTCTCGGCCACTTATTAATTAAGCGGCATCTTCCAATAATTTCCTGGGTAATTAGCATAGTTGTACTTGAACTCGATATCATAGCTATCAAATATATCATAGTTAAATTAAATATATTTCTATTAAATATAGCATAGCTGTTAAATTTTAAAAAACAAAAGTCAATTTTCCTATTTTGGACGCAATTAAAAACGAAGGTAAAAACAAGTCTACTTATTAGTGTACATAATTGGAAGAAATTATAATAGTTGCGTAAAAGTGACATTCATTTTTTTTTCCAATTAGCGTTACTGCGCTGCTATGATATTTATATTTAAAAAAAGATAATAAGAAAAGAGTTAATGCATTAAAATACGAAAAAAAAAACTACCTTATGCAAAATCTGGTTTCATCTTTTGATGTAGCTATAATTATAAACCTAAAATTGACTTAAAATTAGTTTCTTATAATATTATTGATTTTTTGATGCTTAATGATCAATAATTCACTATTGCATTAAAAGAAAATTAATTGTTTGATTACAATAAAAACAACTTTACCGACAACTAACTTTTGAAAACAAATTCTTAATTTAAAATTAAATAAAATTTGCAGTGAAAAACATTGCCTTAAAGCTTATTATTATTTTATATTTACTTTGCGAAAGAAGCACAAACAGTTCTTCTCATTTTAAAATTTCCACTATGTCATCAAAGTTTTTATGTTATTTTATTTTTATTTATTTATTGGAGACAAAATTGTGCTAGAAACTATAATTATTTGTGTATCACCCATAAAATCCATTTTTA